TGCCGCAACCCTTTAATACAGTTCCTCATGTTGTGGTGACCCCCAATTTCATTGTTGCAAATGGAACATAATTAAAGCATAGTGATTAATCACAAAAACAATATGTAATTATATATGTGTTTTCCGATGGTCTTAGGTGACCCCTTTGAAAGGGTCTTTCGACCCCTAAAGGGGTCGCAACCCACAGGGTGAGAACCGCTGGTCTAGAGCAAGTATGTCAAACTCATTCATGGCATGCGGCCCGCTGTAATCCACAGACTAAATTCAAATGTTCAGAGAAGCACTGGGGATAATCACTTGTTTCTAAAAAGTTTCTTATAACAGTTTTCAATCTTTGAAGGCCCTGTTTAATTTACACTGAGCCATATTAACTAAGTAAGGGGTAGGGACTATCAAGTCCCATTTTGTAAAGCCATTTAGGTGAAGAGTTAATTTAATTTAAATTCATGAATGATTGGTTCAGAGCTATCCTGCCCGCTATGGGATATTTTAGAGCACTGAATGACTATGACTGAGAAAAGGCCAAGATTTCTGATGGTTAAGGTGAGTACACCACTTTGTCCTCCATATTATAATCAGTAATTCCCCAAGATCATGAAGTTCCTCATTTTAATTTATTAAAATTCCTCAGGTATAACTGTAATTTGAGAACTAGCATGAGTCACTGTGTAAGGGTTTTTCAATTATTGCATTAGAGGAGTTGACAACATTATTTCAAAACCGATGTTTTAGAGGCTCAAAAGCCAAGGAGTCCCCTCTTATCATTTTTGTTATGTAAATTCTTTTAGTATATTTTGGATTTCCAATTGGGTCAAATTGTGGAAGGTTCCTGCAAGAATAGGGCTTCCTACGGCTGGAGCGAAGCAGAGAAGGGAGCAAAACCTGCTGAGGCAGGCTTTGCTCCCGTCTCTGCCGCCCGGCTTGTTTCACCCCTGCTTCCCTCCACCGCCCGGCCTGGCTTGTTTCACCCCCACCTCCCTCCGCCGCCTGGCCAGCTTGTTTTGTCTTCGCCTCCCTCCACCACCGACTTGTTTTGTTCCTGCCTCCGCCGCCCAGCTTGTTTTCAGCCGCCTGGCTTGCTTCGCTCCCAGCCAGTATATGTAAAGTAACTGCCATCTTTGTTGGCGGTTAATTTGCATATCGTGCTGATTAGCCAATGGGAGGCGTAGCGCGAAGATACGGTCAATTACCATGTTTGGCTATTATTAAATGCTTGCTTCGCCCAGCCAGTATATGTAAAGTAACTGCCATCTTTGTTGGCGGTTAATTTGCATATCGTGCTGATTAGCCAATGGGAGGCATAGCACAAAGGTACGGTCAATTACCATGTTTGGCTATTATTAAATAGGATATTGTGTTCAGAAAGCGGGGGAGAGAGATAGAAACATCAATGATGAGAGAGGAGAAACCAAGATGGCGGCATAGGTTAACGCCGGAGATTGCTGCCTCGAACAACCAATTCAAATTATACCTAAAAGACGGAACAGACATCATCCAGAACCACAGGAAGGCTAGCTGAGTGGAAATTCTACAACTAGGAGGAAAGAGAATATCATACCCAGACTCCGAGGAGGCGCA